GCCCCTCCCCCTCCGCCCCTCCCCCCCCCGCCGAGGGTCCGATCCTCATCAGCAACGTGGTCAGCGTGGGGGGCGGGGCCGAGCCCGGGACACGCCCCCAGGGCCCGCAGGCCACGCCCACTCCGGCCCGGGCCACGCCCCCCGGGCAGCCCAGCCCCCCCCTGCGCGAGGAGCACGTGACCTGCGTGCAGAGTCAGTGACGTCATCGCGCGGGAAAAGGGGGGCGGGGCTTGGGGGGTGATGACGTCATGGGGGGTAGGGGTGTGATGTCATCAGGGGGTGGGACAGGAGGGGATGACGTCATCGAGGGGTGGGTTTGGGGGTTGCGGGAGCGGGATTTGGGGTGATGACGTCATCAGGGAGTGGAGGTTTGGAGGGGATGACGTCATTGGGGAAGGGGTTTTGCGGGTCACGGGGGGATTTGGGGTGATGACGTCATTGGGGCCGGGATAGGAGGCGATGACGTCATTGGGGGATGGGTTTTGGATCGCGGGGGGAGATTTGGGGTGATGACATCATCAGGAGGCGGAGGTTTGGGGTGATGACGTCATCAGGGGATGGGTTTTGGGGTCGCAGGGGCATTTGGGGTGATGACGTCATCAGAGGGCAGGATATGAGGGGGATGACATCATCAGGGAACAGGTTTTGGATCCTGGGGTATTTGGGGTGATGACGTCATCAGGGGACGGGATGGGAGGTGATGACGTCATCGGGGAGTGGAGGTTTGGAGGTGATGACGTCATCAGGGGGGCGGGTTTTGTGGTCACAGGGGGATTTGGGGTGATGACGTCATCGAGGGCAGATTTTGGGGTCGTGGGATTTTGGATGATGACGTCATCAGGGGGTGGGTTAGGGGAGTCGCTGGGGTATTTGGGGTGATGACGTCATCAGGGAGCGGAGCTTTGGAGGTGATGACGTCATCAAGAGCAGATTTTGGGGTCTGCAGTGGGGATGTGGGGTGATGACATCATCAGGGGAGGAGTTTTGGGCGTCACGGGGGGGGATTTGGGGTGATGACGTCATCAGGGAGCAGAGGTTTGGAGGTGATGACGTCATAGGGGGCGGGTTTTGGGGTCGCAGGGGTGGGATTTGGGGTGATGACGTCACCGAGGGCGGATTTTGGGTCAATTTGGGCGGATTTTGGGTCGATTTGGGCAGATTTTGGGTCCATCCGGTTCAATTTCGGGCAATTTTTCGGGGATTTTGGGTCCAATTTCCACGGGAATTTCAGGAATTTCGGGAATTTCATTTTTTTCGGGATTCTGCCCCCGATGACGTCACCGAAGGCGGATTTTGGGGCCGTTTCAGGCATTTTGGGTCAATTTGGGTGGATTTTGGGTCCAATTTCCACGGGAATTTCAGGAATTTCGGGAATTTCATTTTTTTTCGGGATTCTGCCCCCGATGACGTCACCGAGGGCGGATTTTGGGTCAATTTGGGCCGATTTTGGGTCGATTTGGGCAGATTTTGGGTCCATCCGGTTCAATTTTGGGCGATTTTTCAGGGATTTCGGGGCCAATTTCCACAGGAATTCTGGGAATTTTGGGAATTTCATTTTTTTCAGGATTCTGCCCCCGATGACGTCACCGAGGGCGGACTTTGGGTCAATTTGGGCAGATTTTAGGTCGATTTTGGCTGATTTTGGGCGATTTTTTTGGGATTTCGGGGCCGATTTCCATGGGAATTTTAGGACTTTTGGGAATTTCGTTTTTTTCGGGATTCTGCCCCCGATGACGTCACCGAGGGCGGATTTTGGGGCTGTTTCAGGCATTTTGGGTCAATTTGGGTGGATTTTGGGGCCGATTTCCGTGGGAATTTCGGGTCGGATTTTCATGGGAATTTCGGGAATTTTGGGAATTTCATTTTTTTCGGGATTCCGCCCCCGATGACGTCACCGAGTGTGGATTTTGGGTCAATTTGGGCGGATTTTGGGCAATTTTTTTGGGATTTTTGGGTCTGATTTCCACAGGAATTTTTGGGATTTTGGGTCCGTTTTCCATGGGAATTTTGGGAATTTCGTTTTTTTCGGAATTCTGTCACCGAGGGCGGATTTTGGGGCGGTTTCAGGCATTTTGGATGAGTTCCTGCAGGCCTACGGGAGTCTGATCCCGGTGAGCGCCGATGAAGTGGTGGAGAAACTCGAGGACATTTTCCAGCAGGAATTCAGCACTCCCCAAAGGTGCGGAATTTCGGGAAAATTTGGGAATTTTTTAGAATTTTGGGGCAAAATCTGGGATTTTTGGTGCTTTCCAGACTGGGATTTTTTCAGGAACTTTTGGAGTTTTAGGACGGGGATTTTTCTGGGATTTTGGGACTTTTAGGATCGGGTTTTTTTCTGGAATTTCGGTACTTTCTGGACCGGGTTTTTTTTGGGATTTCAGGGATTTTGGGACTTTTCAGACCGGATTTTTTTTTGGGAATTTTGGTCCTTTCTGACTGCGTTTTTTTCTGGAGTTTTCATCATTTCCATACTGGGGTTTTTTTTGGGAATTTGGGGATTTTGGTACCTTTCAGACCGCGTTTTTTCTGTAATTTCGCTCCATTCCACTCTACGTTTTTTTCTGGAATTTTGCTCCTTTCCAGACCGGGATTTTTTCGGGATTTTGGGAGTTCCCGGACCGGGATTTTTTCTGGAATTTTGAGACTTTTAGGACTGGGGTTTTTTTGGGATTTTGGGACTTTTAGGACCGGGTTTTCAGGAATTTTGGTACTTCCCAGACCGCGTTTTTTTGGGGGATTTTGGGACTTTCCAGACCGTTTTTTTTTTCACGATTTTTAGGGCTGGGATTTTTTCAGGAATTTTGGGAGTTTCCAGACCGGGATTTTTTCGGGATTTTTCGACTTTCCAGATGAGTTTTTTTTGGGAATTTTGGTCCATTCTAGACCGCGCTTTTTTTGCGAACCCTTTTACTTTCCAGACCGGAATTTTTTTTGGAAATCTCGGGACTTTTAGGACTGGGATTTTTTGGGAATTTTGGGACTTTTAGGACCGATTTTTTTTTTGGAATTTGGGAATTTTGGTGCTTTCCAGACCGGTTATTTTTCTGGAATTTTGGGACTTTCCAAACAGTTTTTTTTTCTGGAATTTTGGTCCTTTCCAGACCGTTTTGTTTTGGGGGATTTTGTGACTTTTAGGACAAGGGGTTTCTTTTGGGTTTTGGGGATTTTGGTCCTTTCCGACCACATTTTTTTCTGGAATTTTGAGGCTTTTAGGACCGATATTTTTTTGGGGAATTTGGGAATTTTGGGCACTTTCCAGACCGGAATTTTTTCAGGAATTGGGGGATTTTTAGGACCAGGTGTTTTTTTGGATTTGGGGGATTTTGGGACTTTCCAGACCGCATTTTTTTTTGGGATTTTGGGATTTTTAGGACTGGGTTTTTTCAGGAATTTTTCTCCTTTCTGGACCACGTTTTTTTGGGGATTTTGGGACTTCTAAGACCGGTTTTTTTTAGAATTTGGGACTTTTAGGACCGGGATTTTTTCAGGAATTTCGGTACTTTCCAGACCAGGATTTTTTCAGGAATTTTTGGACTTTTAGGACCGGGGGTTTTTTTTGGGGATTTTGGGACTTTCCAGACCGCGTTTTTTCTGGCATTTTGCAACTTTCCAGATGGTTTTTTTTTCTGGAATTTTGCTCCTTTCCAGACCGGTTTTTTTTTTGGATTTTGGGAGTTTTAGGACCGGGATTTTTTCAGGAATTTTGGGACTTTCCAAACCGTTTTTTTTCCTGGAATTTTGCTCCTTTCCAGACCATTTTTTTGGGGGATTTTGGGACTTTTAGGACCGATTTTTTTGGGGGAATTTGGGGACTTTCCAGACCGGGATTTTTTCAGGAATTTTGGAACTTTAAGGACTGGGATTTTTTCAGGATTTCAGGAATTTTGCTCCTTTCCAGACCGCGTTTTTTGTGTAATTTCGCTCCTTTCCACTCCGGATTTTTTCGGGAACCCTTTCCCTTCCCACCCCGGGAATTTTTTCCAGGAATTCCGCCCAATTCCCAATTTTCTCTTCCCAGGAAGGGCTCGGTGCAGCAGTTGCTGCAGTCGTACCAGCGGCTCCCCGGGAACGCTCTCCTGCGGGGATTTCGGGTCAGCTACAAACGCCACGTTCTCACCATGGACGATCTGCAGACGCTCTACGGCCCCAACTGGCTCAACGATCAGGTTTGGGGGAAAATTTGGGAATTTCTGGGAATTTTGGGAAGTTTGGGGGATTTTGGGAGTTTTTTGGGATTTTTTGGTAATTTTTTTGGTAAATTTTTTGACTTTTTTTTGGATTTTTTTTGGATTTTGGTAAATTTTTTGCTTAATTTTTTGTTTTTTTTTTATTTTTTTAATTTTGGTGAATTTTTTAGGAATTTTTTTGGAACTTTTTTTGGAATTTGGGTAAATTTTTTGGTTAATTTTTTGGTTTTTTTCTAGTTTTGGTGAATTTTTTAGGAATTTTTTTGGAATTTGGGTAAAATATTTGGGAAGTTTTTGGGCACTTTTGGGAATTTTTGGTAAATTTTTGGGGAATTTTTTTGGATTTTTTTGGAATTTGGGTAAATTTTTTTGGAATTTTTGGTAAATTTTTTGTGAAATTTTTTGAATGTTGGTAAATTTTTTTGGTGAATTTTTGGGAATTTCTGAGAATTTTTGGGAATTTTGGTAATTTTTTTTAAATTTTGGGGATTTTTGGGGGAAATTGAGAAATTTTTGGGTAATTTTTGGGGATTTTGGGGGATTTTTGGGAATTTTTGGGGATTTTGGGAGTTTTTTATGGGGTTTTGGGGTTTTTCAGATGGTTTTTGGGGTTTCCTGGGTGATTTTTGGGGTCCCAGTTGATTTTTGGGGTTTCGGGATGATTTTTGGGGATCCTGTGTAATTTTTGGGATTTTGGGATGATTTCCGTGGTTTTTGGGTGATTTTTGGGTTTTCTCCACTCATTTTTTGGGGTTTCCCAGGTGATGAACATGTACGGTGACCTCGTCATGGACGCCGTGCCCGACAAGGTGAGGGGGCGTGGCCTAAAGGGGGCGTGTCCAATCCATGTGGGCGTGTCCTATCCATGTGGGCGTGGCCCCGCTAAGCCCCTCCCCCTTTCAGGTGCATTTTTTCAACTCCTTTTTCTACGACAAACTCCGCACCCGCGGCTACGAGGGCGTTCAGCGCTGGACCAAAAACGTGAGGGGGCGTGGCCTGAGGGGGCGGGGCCTCGGGGGCGTGGCCAAGAGGGGCGGAGCCTCGGGGGCGTGGCCAAGAGGGGCGGGGCTCCGGGTGGGCGTGGTTAAATCTGTGATAATTAGGAGGGCGTGGCCACGGGAGGTAATAAGGTGGGAGGAGCGTGGGTGGGGTGTAAAGGGGTGTGTGGCCCTTTAAATGTGGGCGTGGCCCTTTAAATGTGGGCATGGTCTTTTAAAATGGGGGTGTGGCCCTTTAAATGTGTGCGTGGCCTTTTAAAATGTGGGTGTGGCTTTTAAAATATAACTGTCACTTTAAATGGGGGTGTGGCCCTTTAAATGTGGGTGTGGCCCTCTAAATGTGGGTGTGGCCCTTTAAATGTGGGCGTGGCCCTCTAAATGTGAGTGTGGCCCTTTAAATGTGGGTGTGGCCCTTTAAATGTGGGTGTGGCCCTTTAAATGTTGTAGTGGCCCTTTAAATGTGGGCGTGGCCCTTTAAATGTGGGCGTGGCCCTCTAAATGGGGGTGTGGCCCTTTAAATGGGGGTGTGGTCCTTTAAATGTAGGCGTGGCCATTTAAATGGGGGTGTGGCCCTTTAAATGTGGGTGTGGCCATTTAAATGGGGGTGTGGTCCTTTAAATGTAGGCGTGGCCCTTTAAATGGGGGTGTGGCCATTTAAATGTGGGTGTGGCCCTTTAAATGGGGTGTGGCCCTTTAAATGTGGGCGTGGCCCTTTAAATGGGGGTGCGGCCCTTTAAATGTGGGCGTGGCCATTTAAATGTGGGCGTGGCCATTTAAATGTGGGCGTGGCCCTCTAAATGGGGGTGTGGCCCTTTAAATGTAGGCGTGGCCCTTTAAATGTGGGCGTGGTCTTTTTAAATGAGTGTGTGGCCTTTTAAAATGTGGGCGTGGCCATTTAAATGGGGGCGTGGCAATTTAAATGTGGGCGTGGCCCTTTAAATGTGGGCATGGCCGTTTAAATGTGGGTGTGGCCCTTTAAATGTGGGCGTGGCACTTTAAATGTGGGCGTGGCACTTTAAATGGGGGCGTGGCAATTTAAATGGGGCGTGGCCTTTGGGGGTGTGGTTTTTCAGGTGGGCGTGGCCTCATTTAAAATTCCATCTCAATTTTGGTCAATTTTGGGTCGCTTTGGGGTAATTTTGGGGTCATTTTTGCTGAGATTTGGGGGGCGTGGCCTCTGGTGGGTGTGGTCCCCGAGGTGGGCGTGGCTTCTCAATGGTGGGCGTGTCTTCCCGACGGTGGGCGTGGCCTCTTCATTATAAAATTTATCCCAATTTGGGTTGGTTTGGGGTCATTTTGGGGTCATTTTCGCTGGGATTTTTTGGGTGTGATCTTCAGTGGGCGTGGCCCCCGAGGTGGGCGTGTCCCCACCATGGTGGGCGTGTCTCTATCACAGTGGGCGTGGCCTCCCTCCATCTTTACCTATTTCTCCCTGTTTTTGGGTCATTCCCGCCCCGTTTTTTCCCGGGTTTTTTTCTGGGGTGGGCGTGTCCCCGAGGTGGGCGTGTCCCCGTGTGACCCCGCCCCCCGCAGGTGGACATTTTTGGGAAGAAGCTGCTGCTGATCCCGATCCACCTGGAGGTCCATTGGTCGCTGGTGGCCGTGGATGTGGCGCGCAGGACGATCACCTACTTCGACTCGCAGAGAACGCTCAACCGGCGCTGCCCCAAGGTGGGCGGGGC